ATAATCGCTTCAAATATTCTGAAAATAGCTTTTCTTTTATTTTAATTTTGAAAATTGTTTTTTTTTCCTTTCTCAATGCAACGGGTAGACTGTTCCATAATTTTGAACCTAAATGAGATATTGCAAATGTACCAATTGTTGTGTTCATTTTTTGGATTCAGATATCATTTTTGTTTTGTTGTCTAGTATTATGGTTGTGTTAAATGTAATGCAGGTTGTAGGTTGACAAGATATGTGTTAGGAGTCAAAGTTTGGCCTGAATTCATCTTATAACTGGCACATTTCCCATGGCACCTCCACCATGATGCAACTGCCTTGGAGCAGACTAACATACTAATTTTGGCTGCCATCTTGCCCTAATTATCTTGTTGTTCTCTTTTAAAATTTTTAATATGGAAGGCATAACAAATAATAAGCCCCTTTTATGTAAACATTATTTTGCTATACTGTAGCTATACAGTATAGCTATATTTTAGCTGGAATTAATTTTCGCTGAAAAGACTTTTTGGATGTTTTGTATGGAATTTATTTTCACTGAATTATTCCTTCAGTGAAAATAGCGACAATTAATTAAGTATGTGGCAGACAATTTAACACCCTTATTGGTCATGAGATGATTACTCTGAGATATGTAACTAAAATGTCAGAATGTGGAATATCACCTAGTGATGAGTTCATTTGTCAAGTCAAGAAAACCATAATCATGGAAACATATTTCATGAAACCATAGTCATATATTTGTTTTGTACAGTCACATTGTAGTGGATTTATAAACCACAGTGTGATGTCATGTGATGTTAAACACGCATGAAATGACTAAAATTTACTACATAAGAATAATAAGAAAAGTAGAGAAAATATTTTTGATTTTTCAGATCCAAATCGGGTTACAAGAGATATTAAACAGATTGATAATGATGATGATGATAATAATGATGACGATGATTATGAATATATAAAAGGTGAGTGAACATTTTTTACTTTAGGTCAGAAAAAAAAAAAATTTTCAGCGACCGACCGAAAAATATGAAATATTAGGTCGCGTTGTTTTTTTTTTTTTTTTTTTTTTTTTTAACAATAGGCCCAAATATTAAAAGTGTTTCCTTTAAAAATTAGCTATCCCGGACCGTTGTTTGATCCCCAGGGTCCCCGGGGGATAAGTGGCGACTTTTGAACCTCGGGTTGATCTGTATTTTTTTGACATGTTCCGAATACTATGAAGTTTAAAAAAAAAAAAAAAAAAAAAAAAACGTCAGACCCTAATTTTCAATTTTCCGACTTGAGGGCAACATAAGTTTTTTTTTTTTGGCTTTACCATGATTGCGTTGATGCAGTTCTGTCCAAAGCATAGAGTCTTAAAAAAGTGCAACTAAAGTAACAAATCTAAAATCAGATCTACATGCTGGAAAATAAGGAAAGAAAATAAAACTATTGATTTTATAATTCAAACATTGTATGTATTGTATAACATGTATAGGATATGTCTATAGAACAGTAGAGAATTATTATACATTCAAACATTGTATGTATTGTATAACATGTATAGGATATGTCTATAGAACAGTAGAGAATTATTATACATTCAAACATTGTATGTATTGTATAACATGTATAGGATATGTCTATAGAACAGTAGAGAATTATTATACATTCAAACATTGTATGTATTGTATAGGATATGTCTATAGAACAGTAGAGAATTATTATACGTTCAAACATTGTATAACATGTATAGGATATGTCTACAAAACAGTAGAGAATTATTATACATTCAAACATTGTATGTATTGTATAACATGTATAGGATATGTCTATAGAACAGTAGAGAATTATTATACATTCAAACATTGTATGTATTGTATAGGATATGTCTATAGAACAGTAGAGAATTATTATACGTTCAAACATTGTATAACATGTATAGGATATGTCTACAAAACAGTAGAGAATTATTATACATTCAAACATTGTATGTATTGTATAACATGTATAGGATATGTCTATAGAACAGTAGAGAATTATTATACATTCAAACATTGTATGTATTGTATAGGATATGTCTATAGAACAGTAGAGAATTATTATACATTCAAACATTGTATAACATGTATAGCATATGTCTACAAAACAGTAGAGAATTATTATACATTCAAACATTGTAAAACTAACCTGTCTCGCGACGGTCTAACCCCAGGTCACGTTCCCTGTTCACAATTCAGGGGGTGTAACTATTCAGATTAATAAAAATATTTTTTCATTTAAATGTTCATAGATGATGCACAGGTTGTGAAGCCTTCTGTACCACCACGGGTAAGAGATTTTATTTTATTAGTCTCCAAAGCTGGATATATTCATAAATTAAACAGGGAATGTATAATCTAAACTTCAATTTAATGATCAGAGTAAATATGGAATATTTACAAATTGTATCACTGATACAATGGGTGTTAGTCACAATGAATGCATTTAATCATAAAACCACAAGAGGGAAATTTGAATAGCATGGGTTCAATAACCTAAAAAAAAGTTTTGATTTATTTGAGGTAAAGTTGCCTTTT